GCTTCCAAAACTAGATTCCTTCTTCCAATTCGACTCCGAATCATCCAGAAACTGAATTCAACCATGCACGCAAGTTGATACACATAATATGAAACTTCTCGTGACCTCAAACTGTCGAACCGGACGCAATTGCTCATAACGACCAGTCAGGTCGTTACAATCATTGACGAAATTATTCAAACAGCCAAAAGAAAACTTTCAAGAATCCTGTACCATAGCACTTTCAGAATATTTAAATGACAAATTTTACCAAATAGCGTGGTTTAAACTTGATAAACTAAAATTTCCGATTATTTGATCATATTTCTGATCAGCATTAATTTTAAGCTAGCCTACCACTAGAATCTTCAGAATATTTAATTAAATAAATCATTTTTATGGTCTCCTTCGTTTTCGCCCTGAAACTTTACCAAATAGCATTTGTTGGACGTACGCGTTAGAGAGTTAATGGAAAAATAGGGGGAGAAATTCAAAAATAGCCAGATTTACGAGTGATTCTTCAAAAATAGCCCAGTTTCAAAAGTAATCGAAATTTAGCCATTTTTCATGTAAAGATAAATTTGAACGAAAACACTGTTCAAAATTCGGAAAAATACTTCATCATAATATACTGAAGTTTGGAGCACCGGTGCTTCAGTCTCCAGTATATTATACCGGAGCCAGCAAAGTATAACGGTCCAACATAATATGCTGGAAGTTCGTACACAAGTGCACCGAACTTCAGTATATTATGATGGATCGGTCTCTGTTGCAGCAAAATAGTGGTTATTTTTCATTGACTTAGTAAACACTGGTTATTTTTGAATGACCAGTCTGAAAACTGGCCAGACCGTGTTATTTTTACAAAAATAGGAGTTGAAAGATCCTAGAATCATGGAAGTAGGAAATTAAGACATCAAGAGAAGTTTCATAGAAGAGAAATCTCGGTCTGGAATCAAGAATTTGTTTGGAAATTCTTGGCTTATGTTCTAGATTCAAAGTTTCTCTCAAATAGCTGCAAATAACCAAGTTTATTTCCTTGTATCAAATCTGACCTCTTATTGTGATATAATTTTAATGGCTGAAGTTACTACTTTCATCTTCCTTAAGATTGACCATAATTCAGTTCGACATCTGCTTTTGACATTTCATTCACCCTAGAAGTAAATTTGTTTGTGTTTCATACTAATTATGAGCCATTGGAAGCTTCGTGTGACACAAGTTAAAAATAATTGTTTGGACAAATTTTTGAAGTACGGAAAATAAACTGAAATTACAAACATAAAAGAAAATTAATTTTATTAATTAATTAATTATGAGTACAATTTTATTTGTTCCTTTGATTCTTCTCTCTGGATGGTTTTTCGTGATTTGAAGACTGCAACAACGTGTTTCTCCTTTCGGTACTTTGAATCGATCACGAGGAACAACTTCTCTTGATCTCCTTGTTATTTCTTCAATCAAGGACCAAAGTGGTGTATCTCTTAATCAAAGGATGGTAAAAATCTTATTGAAGTATTTGGTGCAAGAAGCGTCGGATAACATTTCGCTAGAGAACTTTGAGAATTAAGATAATATTTGATATCTTGTTCTCTTTGTGAATATTCTATGAGTTTATAAAATCTGTACGATATCTTCAAAGGGATACATGACCGCTTTATATATAGGTGTGAGTTAGGATTTAGGTAGAGTAACTTCAAGAAATTCCTTAATGGACCTTTAGGCTTGAAGACCATGAATTAAGCTTGTCTTATAGAAGCCGAACTTGGTGACCTAATCCAAATTTAATTGGATAGTTACATAAGTCATGTAATTTTGACTTAAATTATTTATCCGGACTTATTAACCAAAAATGTTGATTTGAATTAATGTGTCTTGAATTTAGAATTTTGTCGAAATTTTGTATGGGCGTGATCAATACAATTTTGATGTCTACAATTATTAACAAGTGTACTCTCATGTCATTTGTGAGGATCTTTCTTTTTATTCTGGACACAAACTATTCTAAAGCTGAATAAATGTTTTTTTTTTTTTGCAAAAGTAGTCACTTAATGGCCAAACATAAGAACTCTGCCTTTCAATAAAAAGCATATTGGATTGAATTACGATGGACTAAAAGAAAAGGTCAAGTAAATTATCACATAGAAATGGTACAAACTTGGATTCTTTAGCTCGTCATTAGGCGGCCACTATGTCCATAATTGGGAGTCTTTTAGGAGGCAACTATACATATAACTTTATTATTATACAAGTTAGGTTTATCAAGAAATCGAACTTTTGATTCATCAACTTAAGTTTAAATACACTCCCCTTTAGTTTTGTTTTCTTTTCCCTTCCAAAGACAAATTTGCTTTGCTTTTAAGATAGAGGCTAGAACTTGTCTACTATTTTTTATCATTTTTCTTTTTCTAAATAATGACATGATTGGTATGATGATCTTCACTCTGAGATATGTAGTGGTAGCTTTTATATAGGCATGGAGATTGTCATAAGTGCAAGAAGATATTACGAATGAACTTATAGATAATGGGGATGAATGATACAATCGGCAAACTAGTTCAAAAGCACTTGTTAGGTGGCAACAAAGAATGAAATCAGTAAATACTTATTATTGGCTTTAAAAATTTTAACACGTATATTTCTTAATAAAATTTAGTATTTAAATATTGTACAAACGAAATAATGTTTAGAATTTTCTGAACAAAAATTACGAAAAATTTATAACAGCTAATTTTATTTCCAAGAAAAGAAAAATGACGTCTAATATTTATCATAATGATAGTTTAAAATATTTATCCTAAGATTCTATAGAAGATAGAGAGACCTATAAATAAACGAAAACTGGAATAAGCTTCACTTGATACATATTTGAAATAATTAACAGCCTGTTTGGATAATTGTCACTTATTGTGGTGTATCGTATTGTTATTTTAAATATAATATTTGTATTGATTGTTGCTTAAATTTTATTTTATCGTGTTATTAAATTTGTAATTATGTAACGATGAAGTTTTATTTTACGTAACGATTGATTTAGCGCGACCGCATCATTACCTTTTTTCTCTCATTTTATCCTTAATTATTAGTATTTAATAATTATATTTTATCTTTTTTTATAATAACTTTACACATACAAATTTACTTTTTTTTATAATATTGTAATCTTATTCATCAAATTTCTGGTACGTCACATTACGAGATAATAGGAAACGATATAATTTATCCGAGCACAATATTAATTGAAACAATATATTACAAAACAATATGATATATTAAGAAACACACATGTAACAATAGTTCAGACAATTGACGCTAGGTAATGAGGTGCTTATTTTATTTCTCTTTAACTCAAAGTTAATTCTGTTACAACCCTCCCCTCCCCGTATATTTAAATAAAAAAGAAGAAGTAAAGCTTAAGATGCGAAAAGTGCTCTACTTTGCGAACTTCCTAGTTGTACTCCTTTTGTGATCTTTTAATTCAATCACCTTATTTATTTGTAGATTGTACTATTTGTTTAATTTTTTTTGTTCTAATTGTGCTTTCGCATTCTATAATTAGTTTCGATATTAGGATGTACTTCAATAAGCTGGGTTGTGACCTGTGTCTCATCTCGCTAAGCAAACTTTCTCAATATATTCAATTCTCATTTCATATATCACAACCCCTTAGAGCTTAGACACTCCCTTAGTACTAAATACATATAAACCATAACATAACGTAAACTCATTGTATGGGTCCAAATTTGATCGACCTTAACCTTTTGATGAGTGCGACCAACGACCGAGCACTGACGAATCGGCGTCCCGAGTGAGACGACTTCAAGGCAAAAATAGAAGTTGTACGACCCTTGTAAGAATGTAAGCTCATTAGGGGACATTAAGAATATTCCGCCGAATATTCCTTATATTGTATTTCTTACATTTCGGAAGGGTTTTCTTCCTAGTATATAAGGGGGAAAGAAGGACCTTGTAAAGGGTAGGGAATATTCTGGGAAACTTGTGAATCTTGAACAAAAAGAAAACTTGCTGCTCTCTTCTCTTTACTCATTATCATTTTAGAGATTATTATATTCAGCTACGATTTACCCTCTTATCTTTGTTTGATTTGCTTAAATAGGTCTTAACATCTTTTGAGTTAAACAATTTGGCGCCGTCTGTGGGGATTTCTATACCTAAAACCATAGTTCTCATCTAGATCCATGAAGGTGATATTCGCTTTTCTTCAAACTCCGTATAAACCAACAATGGCGGGAAAGGAAGCGAGGCTAAAGGCAATCACATATGTCTCGAATAATCTCCTAAACTCCCTCAACGAAGCCGGAAGAGAAGATAATGAGAACGCAACACCAAGCGCTACACCGGAGGGAGAGATCTCGCCTCTACCACACGGAGATCTAACGATCTTACGTGAAAGAGGAACCTCAACCTCCACGGCGGGAGAAGCCCCACCAGCAATCAAAAGACTACTAGAAGAATGGCTAACGAGTTCTTTGAGCAACATGCTCGAGAAACCCACTCAAGGAGATATCGAAGACGTGTCACCTACATAAATCGCAGTTGTTGTCGATGAACCAGGCACTACACGAGCAGGTAACACCCGTACTATTATTAATACAGGTGACGATGCGCTCATGGCCATCTTGAAGAAAATGGAAGACATGGAAAATGAGAATAAAACGCTCTGTGACCTAATGAAGGAACATCATGAGAGGGTTGATAAAATACTGGGTGCTCCGAAGCTATTACCAAAACTCGACGTTCGTCGAACAGCCATACAGCGAAGGGGCTGCTCCTCATCCTATTCCAAAGACCTTCAAGATGCCGCCATACTTGAAAATATATGACAAGACCACGGACCCTGAGGATCACCTAATCGATTATGTTACTGAGTAAAGGGCAATGATCTGTCAAAAGAACAAGTATCATCTGTGCTGTTAAAAAAGTGCGGCAAAACTCTGACGGGGGGAGCATTGACATGGTACTCCCAGCTACCTGCGCAATTAATATCGACATTCGAAGATATGGCAGATAAGTTCGTCACCGCCCATGCAGGAGAGAAAAAGGCCGAAGCTAGGGTCAACGATATCTTCACCGTCAAGCAAACGACGGGCGAGGGACTTCGGGATTTCTTGGCCCGATTCAACAGAGTAAGGATGAGTCTGCCAAACGTGTCAGAAGGGATAACAGTAGTAGCCTTTCAAAATGGGTTAAACAGAAACGGATCAAAGGCGACCAAAAAACTGCTCAGCAGACTGATGAAGTACCTCCTACCATATGGGAAGAAATCCACAACGCCTACTACGCCGAGGTAAGGACAGATGAAGACGAGTTGAACAGGCCGCTTCAGCGACTAACATTGGTTCAGACCGAAACAAGGATAGATCGACATAACAATGGACGAAGAGATCAACCACCACATTTCAACCGGGAAAGGCATCAGCCCTATATCCGTACATCCAACCCGCCCCCTCCACGACACGCGGATGTCGTACCACGGCATACTGCACCCCTCCGAAGAGAAAGAGGTATGCCTCCACTACTATCTGCTCATAATTTTTGTGTTTCCCCTTCAGAGATAGTGTACGCACTGGAGAAGCTTGACACGAAGGTACAGTGGCCGCAAAAAATGAAATCGGACCCAAGCACTAGGAGGTCCAACATCCTCTGCGAATTCCACCAAGAAAGAGGACATAAGACCGAGGATTGCATAGATCTACGGCAAGAAGTAGTTAGGATGTTGAACCAAGGGTACCTGAAAGAACTGTTGAGCGATAAGGGAAGAGCCAACTTCGCTCGAGGACGCGACCCATATCAAGGACCTCCAAAGCCACCATAGCCGGTGCGAACCATACAAATGATCATTGGCGGCAGCGATGATACGGTAATCGACCATGTGAAGTTCCCCACCACGCACAAACTCAAACGGATGGTCGCCCACAAATGGTATGACGACCTCGAAGATAGTATCATCTTCGATAAGTCAGATACCGACGGTTTGTCTTTCCCTTACTATGATGCTTTGGTTATAACTTTACGCATCGCTGACACCGATGTAAAAAGAATCATGGTAGACGACGGAAGCGACGCGTGTATGGTTCACACGCGAGTTCTCTTGCAAATGAGGCTCGAGGATAAAATAATACTACATTGCATAACACTAACGGGTTTTAATAATGCAGTAGAGCAGACATCCGAAGAAATAGTGCTACCTGTCCTAGCAGGAGGGTCACCCTAGAAACAGTATTCCACATCATGAACCAGGAAACAACCTATAACGCCATCATAGGGCGACCATGGATACACTCCATGCAAGCCGTCCCCTCAAGATTCTATCAAGTGATCAAATTTCCCACCCCATGGGGGATATTTAGCATCCAAGGCGAGCCACGCACCGCCCAAGAATGCTACCGGATTGCCCAAGATTGCACACACACCAAACAACTAAAAGGAGCAAGTGCAGAGGCATAGCAATTAGCCGTGTCGGGAACTAAACCCGACCTACAAACAGAGGCCATCAAATACCCGGATATTGTAAAATCTTGCAAGGAAACTATAGAGGATCTCGACCCCGTCCAACTGGACGACACCGACAGTACAAAAAAGGCTTACATAGGGAACAACCTCTCGGAACCAAATAAGTATCGTGAATTTTTAATTAACAACGTCGATTTGTTTGCTTTCTCCCACTTAGATATGCCAGGAATCCCAAAGGACATCGCCACTCATAGACTAAATGTCGACCCGCTCTACCCGCCGATATGGCAAATGAGGAGAAAGTTCAATGCCGTAATCAACGAGGCGGTGAGCGAGGAGGTGGATAAATTACTTACCAACGGTTCCATCAGAGAATCGAAATTCCCCCCAATGGGTCGCCAATGTGGTCATGGTCAAAAAGAAGAATGGTAAATGGTAAATGTGTGTTGACTTCACCGATCTAAACAAAGCATGTCCAAAGGACTCCTTCCCGTTACCCCATATCGACCAACTGATCGATGCGACAACGGGGCATGAACTACTGAGCTTCTTGGACGCTTACTCTGGTTACAACCAAATTCTAATGGCTGAAGAAGATCAAGAAAAGATGACTTTTATCACTCACCAAGGAACGTATTGCTATAAAGTGATGTCATTCGGACTCAAGAACGCAGGGGCCACGTATCAGAGGTTAGTCACCAATATGTTCAAAGAGCAGCTCGGCAAGACCATGAAGGTCTATATCGATGACATGCTAGTAAAGTCAATAAAGAAGGAGGATCACATCATCCATCTAAAAGAATCCTTCGAGATACTAAGACAGTACAGGATGAAATTGAATCTCGAGAAGTGCACCTTTGGCGTAACCTTAAGAAAATTTTGTGGCTTCCTCATGTCGCAAAGGAGAATCAAAGTCAAGCCGAATCAAATCAAAGCCATCGATGCAATACCAGAGGTATTGACCAACAAAAAGTAGGTGTCGAAGCTAACAGGGTGAATAACTGCCTTATCAAGGTTCATATCAGGATCCTTGGACAGATGCAACAAATTCTTCAATGTGCTGAGAAAAGACCACGACTTGCAATGGAACGAGGAATGTATTGACTCCCTGAGAAAACTAAAAGTGTATCTATCCTCGCCACCATTGCTCGTCAAAGAGGACCCAGGTGAGTGTCTACTTGTAAATTTAGTAGTTTTCGAGGTCGCAGTAAGTGCAGTCTTGGTCCGTGAAAATAAAGGCACGCAATCTCCAATTTATTATATTAGCAAAACTTTAATCGATGTCGAGACAAGGTACCCTCACCTTGAAAAGCTAGCTCTAGCACTGGTCATGGCTTTACAGAAGCTTAGACCATATTTTCAGTGTCACCCCATAAAAGTGGTAACGACCTTCCCACTGAGGGGTATCCTACACAAACCCGAACTATCAGGTAGACTTGCCAAATGGTCTATAGAATTAAGCGAGCACGATATAACATACCAACTGCAAACCGTTATTAAGTCACAGGTGCTTGCCGACCTCGTCGCTGATTTCAGCACGGAGATATGCCCGAGGTAGAACAAAAAGCGATCCGCACTTCTACACACACCGACCTTTGGGTCCTCTACATCGATGGTGCCTCTAATTCCTCAGGATCGGTACTGGGACTGGGACTCGTCCTCGAGGTCCCTACGGGCGAAGTAATTCGCCAGTCCATATGATGCCCCGAGATGACTAACAACGAGGTCGAGTATGAAGCTGTGATTGCAGGTTTAAAGTTAGACCTCAAATACAGCGCCCGACGACTCGTCCTCCATTGTGACTCTCAACTTGTTGTGAATCAAGTCACCGGGACTTTCCAAATCAAAGAACAGAGGCTACAAAGATACCAGTCGGAAATCCACAAACTACTGCCAAAATTCAACGAATGCCGTTTTGAACAAGTACCTAGGGCGCAGAATATTGAAGCAGATGGCCTCGCCAAAGTAGCTGCGGCCACCAGGAATATCAACAAAGAAAACGTGGTTACCCTCCTTCATTCCGCAATACACCACGCCGAGGTACATTCTATAAACTTAACTTGGGACTGGCGTAACCGCTTCGTAGCCTATTTACAGGATGGAACGCTCCCGCGAGATAAAAAAAAACCAAAAAACTCCGGGTACAGGCAGCCCGGTACAGCCTAGTAAACGGTGATCTCTACAAAAGAACATTCGGTGGCCCCCTATCCAAATGTCTTGGACCACATCAAACAAGAAGAATCTGGAAGAAGTACACGAAGGGAACTGCGGCGCCCATATGAGAAACCGCACCCTCGTTCAATGCCTTATCCGCATTGGCTACTTCTGGCCCACCATGAAAAAAGAAGTCGCCGACTATGTCAGGAGATGTGAACAATGTCAGAAGTATGCCCCTATGATACATCAAGTAGGGAAACTCCTCCACTCTGTCACTTCGCCATGGCCATTCATAAAATGGGGAATGGACATAGTCGGCCCCCTCCCAGCAAGACGAGGTAAGGTACGCTTCCTTTTGGTTTTAACTGACTATTTCTCTAAATGGGTGGAAGCAGGTGCATACACTCATATACACAAGCAGGAGGTCATCGCCTTCATATGGAAAAACATTATATGTCGTTTTGGAATCCCCAAAGAAATTAGCTATGACAACGAACCTCAGTTAATCGGAAAAAGAACGACTGAGTTTTTCGAAAAGTGGTGCATCAAGTGAATACTCTACACGCCATACTACCCTGCCGCCAATGGTCAAGTCGAATCCTCCAATAAGGTAATATTGAACATACTAAAGAAGAAGCTTGAGGAAGCTAAAGGGATATGGCCTGAGCTATTACCAAAAGTATTATGGGCATACCACACTACGCCAAAAACCAGCACAGGAGAAATGCCGTATTCACTGGTCTATGGGACCGACGCAGTTATAGCCGTCGATGTTGGGGAGCCCAGTTTGAGATACAGCAACGAGAGCGGAACAGGCAACGACGAAAGCAGGCTACAAGACCTGGACGAAGTTGAAGAACGAAGAGACATGTCCCACATAAGAATGGTAGCCGAGAAGCAGCAAGTAGAAAGATACTACGACAAGAGAGTCAAGGTACGACCGCTCAAAGTCGGAGACTACGTCCTCAAGGCTAAAACACAAGCTTCAAAAGACCCTAATGAGGGAAAATTGGGAACAAACTGGGATGGACCATACAAGATCGTAGCGGCAGCAAACAAATGAGCATTCCAGCTAGAAACAATGGAGGGAAAACTACTCCAAAACAACTGGAACATTGCCCATCTTAAGTACTTCCACTTCTAAAAGAAGGCGTCACCTAAGTCATACTCTTTTTCCCTTACCCGGGTTTTATACCAATTGGGTTTTCCCGGGGAGGTTTTTAACGAGGCGGCAAGGGGGATGCTTTAGGGATCGATATGTTGTTCATTACCTCAACCCATCGATGTGACCTTCGGGTTGAAGCAATGAAGGGACTACATATAAATAATCAAATCTCCATTATATGTACAATCGAATCTCCATTGTATGAACGGAATCAAATCTCCATTGAATTTACGGAACCAAATCTCCATTGTATGTGCAGAACCAGATCTCCACTAGTAGACATATGACGTCTTCCTATGGGAATACGATCAAATCTCCACAATATAGTTTCGACCTCGTTCGAACTATGACGGGATTATACTTCGATGACAGTTCGAAGCAACATCACAATGGCCAAGGCCATCGACGACAATATAGGTTCGACTTCATTCAAACTACGACGAGATTCTACTTCGATGACAGTTCGAAGTAACATCCCAATGGCCAAGGTCATCGATGACAATATAGTTCGACTTCGTTCGAACTACGATGGGATTCTACTTCGACAACAGTTCGAAGCAACATCCCAATGGCCAAGGCCATCAACGACAATATAGGTTCGGCCTCGTTCAAACTATGACGGGATTCTACTTCGACGACAGTTCGAAGCAACATCCCAATGGCCAAGGCCATCAACGACAATATAGGTTCGGCCTCGTTCAAACTATGACGGGATTCTACTTCGACGACAGTTCGAAGCAACATCCCAATGGCCAAGGCCATCAACGACAATATAGGTTCGGCCTCGTTCAAACTATGACGGGATTCTACTTCGACGACAGTTCGAAGCAACATCCCAATGGCTAAGGCCATCGATGATAATATAGGTTCGACCTCGTTCGAACTACGACGGGATTCTACTTCGACGACAGTTCGAAGCAACATCCCAATGGCCAAGGCCATCGATGACAATACAAGTTCGACCTTGTTCGAACTTTGACAGGATTCTACTTCGACGACAGTTTGAAGCAATATCCCGATATCCAAAGGCGTCAACAACA